GTGTGTGTGTGTGTGTCGTTAGGATTGGCCAGCAATTTGTTAGCCCATGAGCAGGTGTGTATGATCGTGAATTGAACCGATGCGATGGATGGTCTATGCACACTTCTTCTTCAATCATCGCTTGTTGTTTAATTAGGGAAGGAACTCATACTCACCGCGCTCCACAAAGGCATAAAATGAGGAGCATACACATTCATTCACGAGCATATGGGACAAAAGTATCCCAAACCGTGACCGATGTCCGATGTCTAGTATCTATGACGAGTGGCACGAGCGTGAGCTCACTGAGCTGTTTATGTTGTGTCTGTACTGTGTCGAATGTTGGTTAATCACCCCACGGAATGGGGTTTTAGCCTACATGACACGCCCGATTTCGCCCGATTCCGCGATATCGAAGCGATTCCCGACCCTCTTCGCTCAGAGGGAAGCAGCGATGGGCCCCGGAACTCAGTTCCCACTGCGTCCGGAGTCCAGTCACCAAGAAGGTTCAGCTGGGTCCGGAGTGGGGAGTCCGCAGCGATTTGAGGCAGCAACTCCTATGTCGCGAACTATGTCAGCGCGAGCCGTGTGTGTCTTGTCTGGAAGGGCCACGTGTGGCCCACACGGGTCAGCTTTCGGGTGGGGCCGTGTGCCTTTCGGGTGTGGGCAACTTGTTTCCAGAGAAGCCTGATGCCTTTGGAGGAGGTCAACAATAGAGTGATTTTGGAACCATCTGGGACCAGACACGCAGGTGTCATTGTCCTCTTTATTAATTAAGCATGTGTTGGAGGTTGATAGGTTTAGTTTTGTTTCTAGCCCGTGCACTGAAAGCAACAGTGATACATTGATCAAAGCCAATGGGATGAGAGAAACATAAGATGCACCACTTGGAAACACCAGATCAACATCACACCCGTCGCTGTGCGGCATTTGTGTGGTTTCTTTGCTGAAAGGCCAGCTTCTACTTGCTTCTGTGTTGGGGATTCAGACCGCCCGCCACCGTTGGCCACTTGCTTTGAGTCGTAATTGTGCCGCCCCCCAGGACCCAACGAAAACAACCTTAGACACATCACTGCATCTCCTCCGTGTCGCTGGCGTGGACATGTCGACCTGAGTCATTGCTTCACCGACTTCCTGGAGGCTCAAGACGGCCCCACGCCAACCCCGCCCGGCGAATCGGCACGTCAACTCCGCTGCGGCAAATGTCGAGCGAAGAGGATGAGGAGCTCGGTCCTGTGTGCCACTGTGGCGAAGTGATGCAGATCTTGGACTCCTCAGTGCCTCGGAGCAGGGGGTTGAGGGTTGCTGGAGGAAGGGTAGGGGAAGGGAAGATGAGGGTTTCATATATTTTCATCCGCCTTTTTGGCCAGCTGCCGGGGTAGGAGAGAGAGAGGGGTGGGTATTAGGTAGGTAGCCCCACCAAATGAGCAACGACTTATATATGTTGACCTGTGAGCATGAACGAGCAGGTGCTGAAGTTAAGCGTATACATATTACTTTTCTATATTTTTCCAGATTGTTCATGATTGCTCCAGACTGCAAGACGGAGGATGTGAGTGGTTCCGGAGGAAGCCATTCCTCAGAACCTCTCCAGATCTCTAAAAAAAGAGCTCCAAAATGAAGAGATTCAGAATGAGGGTCAAGCGCGGTGTGCGTCTTGGACCCCAGGGATGATCAGGGTCTTCGAGGCATTTTCCACAGCTTGACCTCCAGGAACGGACGTGGAGCTGTTCAGAGTGCAAGGAGAGGAAGGCGCGCTGCGCGGTGCGCTACACCTGTGACGCTTGCAATGTCGAGGCCTGCGATGAATGTGCATGGACCTTGGGAGAGGAAGATGCGAATTCCACGCCCGAGCCGGAGGAGGGTGAAGAGGGTGACGACGTGGGCGATGACGGCTATGAGCGGCACCAGCAAGAGATGCAGGAGGACCGACTACGAAATGGTAGCTGACTATGGCAAGTCACATTCATTTGAAATGTAGTCACGGGGAAGACTAACTGGTCCACTTTGTCATTCACTCTTTTCACTTTTCACCAGAGTGGTGAGAGCTTCCACTGTTGGCCGCTTTTGGCTTTGATGTTGCACTCGGAGTATCGCGGAGTCTGTGTTCAAATATGTTTCAATTCGATAGCTGCCCCATTTAGAATGGGGCAATGGGGAGCCTTTTGGGTAGAAGATGGCAACCTTTTCCAGAGGTCCTGGAGTCCTGCTGTGATTGCAGGACTGGGCTTATTCGGCTTACTATGTGGTTTGCGATGGGGAAGCGGAGTGGTGGGACGTGGGCCCTCTCTATTGCGAGGATTGGACCGATGAATTGGACGCCAACGTTCTGGCCAAGGTTCCAGATGCCGAGCTCACGGATGCGGAAAAGATCAAGGCTGCAGAAGACATCAAGGCCTGGAGGGGGGAAGAGACTCTAGTTCGTAGACTTGTTTGATCAAAACTCGATCGTTTTCAAGTCGATGAAGGGTTGGTAAAGGAGACCTGAATTCAAGATCATTCATGCACATACATATATAATGCATATTATAGCTATAATGATATATATAAAAAAACATAGTAACATACATATATATATATATATATACAGTTATTTTGTATACACAACTTTTTTGCTGGCCCTGGTGATCCACTTGAGTCGGCAAAATGAGAGTCCTTGGGACAAACCAATGCCCGTGTCCAACGAGAATTGCTAAAACCATTACGTTTGAATAGCTTGAAACTGTCCCAGCCTCACATTATTCAGTTTGCATGTCCTCTTTCCGCATCCGATGCAGAGCCCTGATCGAGGCCATGTTAAAGGTGAAGGATGTGGGAGGCGGCGTCTATTGTTGTTGGTGCCGGTGCGTTTCAGGGCAACGGGTATGTGTCAGGGCAGCCACCCCAGTCACTCAAGTACTGTGTACATACTGTGGTTCTTACCTGTTTTTCCCTCTAGTTTGCTTGAGGCTTTGGCGGTCTTTTGGACAGTCGTTGGCTATTCTCTTGGAGAGAGCAGTTCGATTTTTGGATGATGGTCCAGGGTCTTGCAAGATCACGACATGGAGGGATACGAATGGATAGGAATCTTCCCAGTTGATTCTCCGGATCGTCTTGAGTGGCTGGGTTCGCCAGGTGCAACCCAAGGCCTATCCCTTACCCATCTCTTCACCAGGTGCCTGAGCAGAGATGGAGTCGGAGACAATGAAGTCTGAGAGGAAATGTCCCACTCTTCTAAGAAGCTTTCAACTAATTTGCTTGCACGTGAATGATGAGTGTTACGTAGAACTATTTGTCAACCCTGCGAAGGAGTTGATTCGGAGTGGTGGGAGCAGCATGGGTTTGTGATGTCTCAATGGTAAGCTCACTAGCCGAGCCGCAATGCAAAAGATCACATGTGGAACACAGCAGATGCCAAACCCAGCTGCCACCTTTTAGTCAATGCATTGATGTTAATGTCTCAAAAGCCCGTGGGGAGACAAGGAGGGTGAAGGTGATCCGGCAGATGCAAGACACCAGACATACAAATCGGAGGCGACTCGAACGGAGAAAAGGGCATTGCTACTAGGAGATCTAGGAGGGAGTGATCGGACGCTAACGGGGCTCCTGGCCTTACCACTAGGAACAAGAAGCCATTAGGAACAAATGACCTATAATTGGCAACTGAGAGAGAGATTTACCGTGTGTCATCCTAGCTGAGCGCACTGAGGGTTTCTGAGGCGCACGTGAAGTGCACGTCCAACAGCTGACCGTCCTTCAGTGGAGCCAGATCACGCCCAGGCGATCAAACACCCGATCGGAGTGTCCACCCGATCGTGCCGCCCATCACGTCGATCGGAGTGATGAAAGTCCTATAAAGTCCTCGGCCATGGCTGAGGCTCCCAGAACGCATTCCAGCCTGCCAAGCACACCGGCTGCGCTTCTGCCCGCAGGGCGCCGCACAAGAGCAGCTTCAGCCAGAGATTGCGCCCCCCACGCCACCTGCTGGAAATTCTTAGATGGGAGCCCCAAGGCTCCAGTTCACTCCAAAGATGCGATTGTAGCAACCCCCACAACATCTACATAAATCGACAGGCGCAGTTTAGTCATTTGTTTCGGGAATTCCAGGGGTCGGTTGATGAGATCCATTGACCATTGTAAGCCTTGAAGCCAGGGAAGAGCTTCAGCAGTTTGGGATGCATTACCAAAACTCCATTGATGGTCATGGGAGTGAGAAATCAAAGCGTTAAATAAGTTTGTCACCAATTACTTGTGGCAATTATGTGGTCGCTACCAACCATCACCATCCGCCGAACCAGTGGTTTGAGACAGATCCAGCTCGTTACTTGTTTAAACATAGCTATGAAACTATATTTTTGGCACATGAGTTTGCTAACAATTCTCATCATTATGGTTGGGATATAGTATGATATATCCAAATGACATTGACAAAGATCGTTTTTTTCTTCTCTTCGAGTCGCGACTCCGAGGTCCTCGGAGATTTATGCCTACAGCCACTTGGTCGTTCCACTTGGTCGCCTGAGCTCGGGAGAACGTGTTTGGGCCAGCCTAACCAGAGAACGTGGAACAGAACGCAAGCATCGGAGAACGTGATCAGATCCACGTAATACATACAATATGTGTATATATATATTTAGATAGGTAGATAGATAGATAGATATAATAGATATAATAGATAGATAGATAGATAGATAGATAGATAGATAGATAGATAGATAGATAGATAGATAGAT